AATGTCAGCAATGTGACCTCCAAGAAAAATCCAGTCCTGCCTCATTGGGTGGAGCTGCTTTTGTTTCAGTAATTTAGTGATAGTGACAAGCTAAGGGAAACCGAGGTGCTTTCAGGACATTATTAGTCATTGGGCTTCCCTTTCTTTTCTTTCTTTTTTTTGTTTGTTTGTTTGTTTTGGTTGTTTCCACGGGGGGTGTCAGGTTTTTTATTTATTTATTTATTTTTAATTAATTTATTTTTTTACATAAAGCAAGAAAGTGTTCACTATTTTATTTCATTGATTTGATTTAATCCAATAACGCATTCATGCATGTTTTCTGTTCCTTACTTTGGAGTACTTATCACATTCATGTATAAAAATAATTTTTCCAAAAAAAAAAAATTATTTTTGACTTGTTTTCATATCATCTGAGCAACCCAAATAAAAAGTTCCTGCTTGCTTTAGACACTTTTTAGAACAGCTTGCAATGGCAATAAGATACTCTGATGTGAATTGTTAGCCTGGAAGAACTTCACTGATAACAATCATGCAGCAGCTCCTACTTTTAATTGAGCATTAGAGTCAATATTAAAAAAAAAAAAAAAAAACTAAGGCAAAGTGGGTCAACAGCACAGTGCACACAGCAAAGACTGTTGTTAAATAAAATAGAAAGTTTAAACTGAAGACATTGTTACTGTAATCCATGCGATAATACAACTCAGAGCAATATTTCAAACAATGCTTTAGGTACTGTAAAGACTAAAGAAAGGCAATCCAAATAAAAATCCACTTAAGTCGAGAAAAGTCTGAAGAATAGTAAAAACATTGATTTTCTGTTTAGACTGTAATTTGAACTGCTGTCACATAAATGTATTATGGAATGCGATGCACTTTAACAGCGCGGTGACATAAAGAGAGAAAACAGCTACGTTGGGCCTATTTAATAGTTTTACAGCACTTGCTTGTGAAAACATGTTTGCTGAGAACGTACCCAACATTTCCCAACTTATTCTCAGGACAAAAGCAACAACAACAACAAGAACAAGTCGGCTAAACAAGAACAAGTCGGCTAAATGGCAATTAAAAGCGAAAACACTCACAAGACTTCATAGTTTATGGATAAGAGCTGGGCTTTCCCATCAATTCCTTTATTAAGGGTCTTATATCGGTTTAGGGGCATCACTCCCCGGCGCGCTGCACCCATGACGCTGTGCGTCTTAGTAACCACGTGGGCTGACGGCCTGCACGTGAAGACAAAGCCCCGGCCTACACCGAGCAGCACACACGGACAACGCGCACATAAAATGGGGGAAATATGCAGCAAGCGTTGAGGAAATAAAGAGGCTTTAAGTGAGTCAGATGTGACAAGGGGCCGCTTTGTGCTCCCCACGGGAGGAGACAGGGGACAGGTGGGTGGGTGAGGGGGTTCACACTGCCAAGGGACAGCCAGGCATGCTTACTGACACGCAAACAGGACAACCCACGAGACATGAACACTTGAGTTAGAAGGTGACATATCTATCTATCTATCTATCTATCTATCTATCTATCTATCTATCTATCTATCTATCTATCTATCTATCTATCTATCTATCTATCTATCTATCTATCTATCTATCTATCTATCTATCTATCTATCTATCTATCTATCTATCTATCTATCTATCTATCTATCTATCTATCTATCTATCTCTATCTATCTATCTATCTATCTATCTATCTATCTATCTATCTATCTATCTATCTATCTATCTATCTATGCAGCCTAATCTCATCATGAGCTCCTTAAAAGTTCATTTAGTTGTAGCTCTGTAGGTGATGCGTCTGCCTGATCCAGTGAGAAACATCTGTAACATCTGGCTCCCTGAGGTGAGTTACAAATGCATAAGAACCACATGGCCCCTTTGTGGCAGCTCTAGAAAGTGCCAATGTTTCACCCTTCATTTTATTATTATTATTATTATTATTATTATTATTATTATTATTATTATTATTATTATTATTATTATTATTATTATTATTGTTAATTTATTTTTTGTTGTTATTAAAAATTTTAATATATGATTATAGTTGTAAAAAAAAAAAGAACAGGTGTTGACAACATTCTCATTGCTATGAGAATGGTGCTCAGGGCTAATATTTTATAAATGACAATAATATTAATAGTTTGGTCACAAATTGTTTCATTTCTGTACTGACAACCCATCTGAGCAATTTCAGTTATTGTTCTGAATGATATTTTCAAAGAGGACATGTGAAGGTATATTTGAAGGACAACAGCCTCACCAGATCCACGACTCGACTAACACTGCAACGGTGATAACAATGAAACCCAGGGAATCAGAGCAGAATCTGAGCCCCACATGAGCTTCGCCTTTCATCTCCATTTGTGTGGTGGGTGAAACCCACCCAGTTGCCGCTGTCGCTCTGTGTGCCCAAATGAATCATTTTAAAATAAATAAATGAAACAGGTGAATTGAGGTGAATGTTATTTGCATTCTTTAAAAGTGAAATGTCTCACAAAGTTAAAAAAAAAGACACTCCCTTCCCACACACATTCATTGTTTTCATAATCTCCCCTTTAAGACGTTGAGGCTTGCAGTAAATTTTCCTTTCTTGCACTTTAAAGAACATTGAATGAATTATTTCATAATAAATATAATAATAATAAATTTCTCATCTTGCTACAATATATCTAAGTGCAAACATAACCTTGTAAACCTACAGATCTGTGTGTGTGTGTGTGTGTGTGTGTGTGTGTGTGTGAGAGAGAGAGAGAAAGAAAGACAGAGGTAGAGAGCTGCCTGTTTCTTTGCCCGCGGCACCAAGTGAACGTACAGTGCGTTAATGCAGATTGACTCTCAGTTCTTCCTCTCGTCAGATGAACACGCCCCCGGGTGCGTCACGTCCGACCACATATAAACACCGTAAACCATCCAACCAAGGCAAGCCTTGAAGCTTTATTCCAGCCTATTTATTTCTAGCGTGCCAAGCTTTTTGTTGTTGTTGTTGTTGTTCGTCATTGCTTTTTGAATACGTTAAAAAAATAAAAAAATAAACAAATGAAAAAATACCCACAGATTAGTTTTGTTCTTGCTGCGTAGATTGAATGACAACAAGTCCTTCTGAAATCTAACAAAAAAGCTCAACGTGGAAAACCAAAATGTTACGGAATGTAAACACGTCGCGTAATAAGACTGCATGCATTTCGTCGACGTTGGCGCTCGGACGGAGGAAAGCGACATCTCTGTCCATGGTGCTGAAACGAACGAAATTATATTTGCCACTTGGATGATGGGCGACCAATAAATAAATAAATAAAATACAGATAGAAACTAATAATAAGCAACGAGGGAATGTTTTGAGTTTGTTCACAAAGCTTTAGCATCTGTGAACTCTATTTAGATAATATGCAATTGCCTGTTTAGGCTTTTGGAAAAGGAAAAAAAAAAAAGCATTATTTTATGTTGTTTTTGTTTTACTGTATTCAGATGAGGACCCAACCAAATTGCCTAAGGTGTCTATGTGTTAGTCTAAAGAAAAAATAAATGAATAAAAATTACTATTTCAATAAGTCTTAACTTTAATATTCTTTTGGAGATACAGTTGCTGCTCATTTTTAATCTGGAAAAAAAAAGTTTTTATTTTTTTAAATATGATTTTATGACGGGCTACTTCGGCCACATTTTAGACTTGAACATTTTAAGCTGGTTGGACTGGTCGAATAAGGAAAGGAAAAGCAAAGTGCAGCTCTCAAGTGCGATAAAAAAAAAAACACATCTGACCGTTTTTAATGAAAAAAGTACTGAATTGTTTGTTTTGTGGGCAGATGCATTCAATTTAAATGTACTGTACTGTAGCTAGCTACACAGTCAATTACATCAGGCCTATACTTGTTGCATAGTGAAAGAAAGAAAGAAAGAAAGAAAGAAAGAAAGAAAGAAAGAAAGAAAGAAAGAAAGAAAGAAAGAAAGAAAGAAAGAAAGAAAAGAAGAATGGATGAATAAATGAATGAAAGAATGAATGAAATGAATAAATAAATGGCTTTTTAAAATTTACTGTTCAGTGTAACTGTCTTCAAACTGTGATTTATTTCTAAAATAATTTCCTTTTGTTTACCACCAAAAATATTATAATTATAACAGACAAAGTGGTCACAAAACTTTAGCTTTTAGTTAAGGTGTAACTGTAAGTACATACATTAATGCTTATTGTGTAGAAATAATAATTTAAATTGATATTGTTATTTAAGCTGATTATAGGGAAAAAATGACATAAACATTTTATTACAAGTGGATATATATATATATATATATATATATATATATATATATATATAATATATATATATATATATATATATATATATATATATATATATATATATATATATATATATATCAGCTTCAGTGGTCTTATCAATTAATTTCACACGGTTGCTCCGGAGAACATTTTCCCACAACACAAGCTACTTACAAAAAAAAAAAAAAAAAAAGAAAAACAGAAAAGAAAGAAAGAAAGAACAGGGGGGTAAAAAGAAGAAGAAGAAAAAAATGGTCCGGTAATAGAAAGAAAAAAAGTCAACATCAAGTTCAACAGCGTGCTGGTGCTCATTATCATCACAATGCTGTCTGGGAGCACACACAGGTCTTCTTAACAAGGGGCCCTGGCGTCAAGTCCCTCCACCTCCCAGCCGAGGGGACATTTTCCCAGGCTCTGCTAACAATCACGCAACTGTTTGCTTTCTAAGCGCCGCGTGGCTCCGGGGCCACGCAGCTCAGCGCCGCCTCAGCTGCGCTCAAGGTGGAACAGCCGGGCTGGCACTCATCAGTCCGGGCCTCAGTACACCTGACACATCGCCCCTACTAATAACTATTATTATCTATTATTATTATTATTATTATTATTATTATTATTATTATTATTATTATTATTATTATTATTGTTGTTGTTGTTGTTGTTGTTGCTGTTGTTGTTGTTGTTGTCGAATAACGAGATTTGTGTGAGGAAATACTTACGAGCCACAGAAAGCGAATAAATCCCGCATCTCCGGTTGAAGTCCGTTCAGAATTTTAGGGCACGTTTCTGCGGGTGGATCTCAGTCAGGAGTAACCTTGCGTTACCAAAGCCCCAATAGTCCAGAGGGGGGGCAACACCCCAGTGACACGCGATCTTCAAAGCGGTACAAGCGGATCCCGTGCAGAAAGAAAAAAGTTTAAAAACGAGAGAAGACAAACATGCAGCCACTTCACTGTCTCAGCATCTCCTCACTACCCTTGGATGACAGAATAGAGGAAGCTGCCGGGTCGTTGGTCCCCCCTCTCTCTCTCTCTCTGCCTCTCTCTCTCTTTCTGCCTCTCTCTCTCTCTAAGCGGCCGCAGTTGCACGACGCTCCTGCGCGACCCGTACAGCGACGCAGCAGCGACACAGTTATTCCCGGACCACCGTGGGTCCCACGGCTGGAGTCGGACCTCGCATGGTTTCCAGCGTCTGACAGACGTGCTGCGCCACGTGCAGCCCTCTTTCTGCGTGGCAGTGACGGGACGCAGAGAGAGAGAGACAGAGAGAGAGAGAGAGAGAGAGAGAGAGAGAGAGAGAGAGAGAGAGAGAGAGAGAGACATGGAGGACAAAGCACCGGGACTCCTTTTCTTGTTTTTTTTTCTTCTTCTTCAGACACACATGCATGCCAACTCACGTCCGTAGTTCGCCCCCCCCCCCCCCCTTTTTAAAATCCTACGTGGTCGGGAGGAGGGAATCAAGAATCTCCACACTTTGATGAAGAGGCGCACTTTCGCAGATGGGGCTTATGGGCTACAAAAACGAAGCCCTCAGATCTCATCTTGTATCCTCTTTCTTCATAGCAAAACATCCAAATGGCACACACAACCAAAAACCACCACCCCCCCCCAAAAAAAACACCACGCCACCTTGAATGAGTGGTCCCCCACACCTGCATGCGCGATGCATGTCTCTTCTCTGAGGCACCTGTGCCAGCGTCGTACCAGAGAAAGGAGGAGAGAGCGAATGAGAACGCCTCCACCAGCAGCAGCAGCGGCAGCAAAGCGGCTGCGCGTTTAAACGCTGCGTTGTTCCCGTGCAGCTATGAGCGCGAGCCGCAGGAAGGCGCGCGCCGCTATCGAGCAATCCGAAGCGGAGAGGGTTCAACGCGGAGCCCGCACGCACCGGGCGGTGTGCGGGGGGCCGATGTCGCAGCGGCAGACCTCGGCGGCGGCCAGCAGATGCCGATGCCCCCCACACCGAGCTCCAGTGGGTCACGCTGCTTTACGCGGTGCGACGTAACCAGCAGGACGCACAGCGGGCACTCGCGTCTGAATCTCGACTTTGGAGAGAGGGGTGTTAAAAATACACCAGATTAAGCCATTATGTTCCAAAGACAGGCATTCGGGCTGTTGGCGTGTTCAGAAGAGGCAAAGAAAGCAGCGTGAATGCGTCGTAAAAAGGAGAAGAAGAAGAGAGAGAGAAGAGGGGGGCGGGGGGGGGAGCAGGTGCGCCACTAAAAATTTGACGTGTTAAGCTGCGTGCTGACGTAAGGGATAGCGCGTGCGCCGGGACATGTTATTCCAAATGTGTTACTCGGAGAGTTAGTATGAATATAATATGTGGGATATGCATAACTCTGAGGGGCTGGTACATTAAATCTGATGATATTTTATAATGTTTTAATTTCTGCAACACTATTTTTAAAGAACAGATTAAATGTTGGGTTTCTATCTATCTGTCTGTCTGTCTCTGCCTGCCTGCCTATCTATCTATCTATCTATCTATCTATCTATCTATCTATCTATCTATCTATCTATCTATCTATCTATCTATCTATCTATCTATCTATCTATCTATCTATCTATCTATCTATCTATCTATCTATCTATCTATCTATCTATCTATCTATCTATCTATCTATCTATCTATCTATCTATCTATCTATCTATCTATCTATCTATCTATCTATCTATCTATCTATCTATCTATCTATCTATCTATCTATCTATCTATCTATCTATCTATCTATCTATCTATCTATCTATCTATCTATCTATCTATCTATCTATCTATCTATCTATCTATCTATCTATCTATCTATCTATCTATCTATCTATCTATCTATCTATCTATCTATCTATCTATCTTTCTCTGTCAAATCTGGAGGTTAAAATACAGAATTTACATGGGGACACTTCCAGAAAGTTATTATAGTGTGCCATTACCAGAGCTTCAAGAGTGTTCTGCTTCCTTATCCGGGGTAAGGAAGCAGAACATCAAAGAACTCGATTGAAATCACAATAAATAAATGTTCCATAGCTCAGATTTTTTAAATGTAAAGCTTGGGTATGCCCTGCAGCCTCCCTGCATCTCCTTGTGCCACTGAATTCAGAACAGCTTTCATTGTCTCTCTCCAAAAGCCCTAATCACTCATCAGACTTTGGTAGTTCTCCTTTGGAAATTAGTCAATACATATTTCAATATGCACAGGCAAAACAACAAAGAGGATCTCAGATTGAAAAAGTTTTGCTTTTTTTTTTTAATCTAATTTGAGATGTTATCTCTTCATATAAAGGTCGAAGTTTGTTAATTCACAGAAAAAAAATCTGTAACTATTAATGTACATATAGCCCATGATGGTGAATACTAATGTAAACATCAACGTGTATTCTCTTAGCTGGAGGCCTTTCGGAGGCGTTTTTGCCCAACACTTTCTGGGCAGTTACGTCACTCTTTAGTGTAAAACTACGACACCTACTGGCAGAGAAGTGGCAGTGCGGAAAATCTCGGGCCTGCACCGATAAAATGCCCGGCCTGAAGCTACAGCACGTTGAAAAAAAATTAAAATTAAAATTAAAAAAATGTACACAAAGCGCCAGAAAATAATGACGCAATGATAATAAAGCATCCAAATGAAGGCTTTTAAATGTTTTAAAACAAGGCGCTGTGACTGCGTGTGACTGCGTGTGAACGGGAAACACGGCCTGACATGATCGCACGCATTCATGTTTGTAAACTGAAACGCTTTTTATTCTACTCGTTTTTTAAAAATATTAATCCGATTTATCATCCCAAACTGGCCTGGATCCGAAAGCCTACGAGTTAAAATAAAACTTGTATGAATTGGGTTTGAACAGGATAATATTTATATATGTTCATAATAAATCCATATCAGCCGTTTGGGTTTTAAGAAAAGAGTTTCGTTTGGTTTTGTTTCTGCGATTTATTTAAAAATAATAATAATAACAATAATAATAATAACGATAATATTAATGCAACAAAATTGCATGTGTACTTTTCCATTATATCCATTACACTACTTGACACTTGTAACTGACAAAGAGCTCGATTGAAATCTTAATGAGATTGCCATGAACGTTTTATCGCGAGATTTGACCGTTAAACGTTGGCACGCGCAGCTGACTAAAGTCTGACATTTATATATCTTTGTTTGAAATGTTATATTTATGGGGAGCGAAATCCAGCAACAAACGTGCGTGTTGGACTGACACTTCACTCAAAGCTTAAAAACGGCAACTTTCCAGAAATGTAACATTTCTCCTGTTCAAATCGCAATCTTGAAGAAATGCATTACAAAATGTAATGCTGTATTTTGCACACGTGCATGTGTAAATATTAAAATGCCTGCTTATCTCTTATTTGTTGCATAAAGACGATTTTGTAACCAACCAGCTTTAAAGGGAACGCTGTTTATTCTTTGAAAATATACTTCAAGATTTCAGGACAAAACTGTTGCATTTTCATGTTTAATTCATTTGAATTAATTAAATAGATTTATAATATGGAGATTTTGCTTAATTTAATGCAACAATAAATTGCACTTTAATGAATTTGTTCTTGAATAATAATAATAATAATAATAATAATAATAATAATAATAATAATAATAATAATAATAATGTTTTTCAGCTATGCACATTGTGAATAAAATGTAAAAGTATGGCATTATTATTCTTTTCTACATTTGGGTGATAAATAAGACATGACATAGCAATCATGAATAGAAGATGTGTCATAAATACAATTCTTAAGATTCTAATCTTCCTCATCAGAAAATGAATCTGCTTTGCTTCCTGCAAGAATTTTATTATTCTTCCACTTAAATCGCCACCATCATCTATGACCTAAGTGAGCCCTGTTGGCTTAGGTGGCCAATAACTGACCAAATCAAGTGGCCACTTTTGGGAATTGCAATGACTGATCTTCAAAGAGGTCTGACCTGACACAGGGTCTGACCTGACACAGGAGCACGAAAGTGTCAAAGGTCAGTCACGAGAAACCAACAGGGTGCCAATATTTGTTCGTCCCTCTGTTCTGCTCCCAAGTCAGAACCCTACGCTGCTGTGCTGCAGCTCATTCAGGATGTTGGAGATGACCCCTCCAGTGTAATTACAAAAAACCTGGAGATGGACTGAATTTACATTGCATGAGGATGTATCATCCATACTCAGTGTGGAAGAAACCCGCCTGTCAAATCAGCAACAACACGTTGCTGATATCTTTTAAACTGCAACGAGTTGCAAATAGTTTTATTCCCAGCCTTGTGGCACATCCGTAATGAAATAATTATTGAAAGAGAGTAGTTAAACCAGAGGGGGAAAAACAGCTTGCGAATAACTAGATGACTCAACTGTCTCCACAACATGAGGCAGCAACAGCTTTCTCTGCTTAAGATCTTTAAGACCAAACAGAGTGGGTCAAATCCTCCTCTGTCAGGTCCACCTGAACGCCCTGAAGGCATCCAAGACCACATCAATCCCCCAATCTCAAATTGGGGGATTGATGTCTCAAACGTCACAAGATTAGAGCATCTCTTCGGAGCCACCTTAAGTTGCTGTCATTAAACACACCAAAACTGCAGGAACAAGTCTTTTAAAGCTTCAGTTGAGGTGGAAAGCAAAACACAAACCATGGCGATGTTTCACACCAGCCAGTAGGGGGGGAATTTTTTTTTAGTAATCCCAGTTTAATGTTCAAGCAATTTAAACAAAGCAACTCCAGAGCTTACCCACAGTTCAGCTGCAGCTCCTGGCTCTTTGTTGGTCTTGTCTGCAGAGGAGATGCTGGCCCATTCCCGGCCATGTGAAGACAGATTGATGGCCTCCCCGCTCTCCTGCTTTAATTGGGAACAGGCTGAAATTTATGCTAATGCGATGACATCAGTCCCGCCAGGCTCCTCTCTAAATAAAAGAGCGGAGCAAAAAAAAAAAAAAAAAAAAAAAAAAAAAAAAGTGGGGGGGCCAAAGTCTTTTCCCAGCCAGTTCCGTCGGTCGGTCAAGTTCAAGCGCGCCGCCGGTGGCGCTGCTTTTGTCATTTAAATGCGTGACCGCGCTTATCAAATTAACGCAAAGGGGAGGGAGGGGAGGGAGGGGAGGGGTAGGGGGCGTAGACACGTGAGCATATCCATGCATCTGGTTTGGTTATTTTTATTGGTGAAACTTCTGTGTCACTAGTGTAGCAAAAAGGGTTCATGCACCGTGTTCAGGGTTTGAATTGCAACCGGATCAGATTCGTTTTGCAACGGATCCAAAATAAAACGTGACAGAGATGCAGCCTGCCAGCACCCCCCCCCCCCTCCCACACACACACACGCACACACACACGCACACGAGTGTGACTTTTTAAGCATTTGTGAAAGTAACATGAGTCATCCGCTCAGACGCGCCAAATTGCGCGCTGTCACACTGCCCACCTGTGTGACAAAACGAGATCGCTGTAGCAGAATGACAGACAGAAGGCTCCTTGGTTTTTCCAAATGCACAAATTGTGTGACAACACAAGCAGCTTAAAGGACCACAGCAGAGTCGAGCCTGAGCCTTATGATGTGAGGCCACTTCATGATGCATCATAATGGGCATCTTCTTGGGTAAAAAAAAATGCAATCACTTCCGAATAGCATTAACATCCAAAACTCCCTCCCCAAAAAAACAAAATAAAACGTTGTGTGAAGCACTGCCCATGATATAACCTACATCGAAACCAGCACTGACTCTCCATAAAAGAAAGTCAAGTCTGTTGATAGGCATCAAACATGAACATGTTGACCAAAGACTTCATAGTCATGTACACAGCCAATATCTGATATAGTGTTATATGTACAGAGCAGAACTTTTGCTGTCTAAATTAAAATTTCAACATGTGTTGATGTCAACCAGGTGGGTTGGCTGAGGCCTTTCTACATGGAGTCTGCTTTTTCTGCCTATGTGTATCTATATGTTTTTTTCCTCCCAACATCCAAACAGTAACAACTGGATATTGGCACCAGACTCCTCTGTGAACCCGAAGGACATAGAAAATGAACCGATGTATAAAAATGATTCTCTTCCTGTATTTGTTCTGTGGACACTGCAGGGATTAATGAGGTATCATGTTGAGCGACAATGTATCGCCTACTCAGTCTCTTTCCATGCACTTCCTCGTTTCCCCTATCCGACCAGGAGCCTGCTAATTAACAGTCATGAGTTGTAGTACTGTTTTTAAAAACCTCTGTGACAAAACAGATCTGGTCCTCCTTAGCTTGTTCCCACACACACACACACACACACACACACACACACACACACACACACACACACACACACACACACACACACACACACACATTGGACTGAGACAAAAACAGAAAAAAGCGGGTAAAATTAGGGCAGATGATAGGGGAGACAATAAGCACGGAGGGAAAGGGGCAGTTTCCTTTGACAGGCCACCACTGCAGCATTTGCATATATTCAAATCAAGGGGGTGAATGCCAGGCGTGGGGGTTGACAAAGACGAACCAATGGGAGGGCAGCGTCCGTGCTGCGGGCCCAGAGGCTGCCGTCAGTCTTCCAGCAGCACCCTGAGAGAAACCCAGGGAAGTGGTGTGGGAACCAAGAGGCCCCCGGAGCTGGACAGAGGGAGGGGAGCCACTTGTAGCCCGTGATGGATTTGCATTTTATTTGTGTCCATTTTGCTCAGTAATTTCTGCCCCTGCTCTTCAGCCACAGATGGCGGATATGATAGAAGGATTTGTGTCAAAGATGATAATGATGGAAGTGTTTTTTTTTTTGTTGTTGTTGTTTTTTACCCAAAGAGATTCTTTTCGTCCTTTTGCTTGACTGGCACCGTAATGTCGGAAATGATGGACAAACCTTTGCAACGTTTAATAGATTTTTGGATCATTTTGTTGTCGATTACTGCTTCAAAAATGTGTTTTGTATACTTTAAGAGGTACAAGGAAATTCTAAGCTGTTCTGGTTGATTTCAGCAACTCACAATGTGCATAATAGATGTTGAGTTAGACAAAAAAAAAGAAAAGAAATAGCAACTGTTTTTTTTTTAAGGACAGCACTTTGCAAAAGCATTCAGGCAGCCGTGTTATGTTTCACTGAACTCTGGCCTGCTTTGGTATCCCCTCTAAAGAAAAGCATCCTGAAAGGATGATGCAACCATCGCCATATTGAGTTCATGGACATGTTCAGTGTTAGTGTTCCTCCAAATATGCACACAGAAAAAAAAAATCAGGTCTCATCTGGCATTCATAGCATCCTTTTCCACATGCTTGATGTGTCACTAATACTATTAGTGGTTCATAAAGATGTCATCCTCTGGCTTTCTTTCAATGCCACAGTCTGCTTCTCTGAATAACGCTTTTCCATGTCAACTCTGTCAGTTTAGTCTTAATGTGTACGTTTTGTGCCAAACTCTTTCCATTTTTAGATGATGGATTGAACAGCAGCATGTGAATTGTTCAAATCTTGGGATCACAACTTGACCTTGTTTTAAATCTTTCCATAACGTTACCTCTGACCTGTCTGGTGTGTTTGATGGCTTTCGTGACTCTGTTTCTTCAATCATTTACACTACAACCCTTCGATATGATGCTGCATTGTTTCGTCACTTGAGTACTTGATGCTTCAAAAAGATTTGTTGCATTGTTTTGTTTTTTTCGTGTGAAGGGTTCAGGAATACAAGGGACTTAAATGTGCATCCCACTGTTTTCTGTTTTCGAAATGATTTTGTAACCACGCATCATTTTCCTCCAACTTCACAGTTATGCACTAATTTCTGTTGGTCTATCGCACTTTTTAATATTCTTGTCAGAAACTATATAACTACTCACAATGTCAATAAAAAATACTCACCTTTTTCTTCTCGATGTGCCTCAAATTCAGGCAGAAACCCATTGCTGCTAAAACACCAACAATGTAAGCTGCAAAATGATCTGTTTCTCTGATTTGACTTTTTATAGGTATATATTTGAGTAAAATGAACATTGTTCTTTTATTCTATGAATTACTGACAATATGTCTGAAATTACATGCAAAAATAGTATTTATTTTCAGAACATGGGAAATGATTAAAATAAAAATGAAAATGATGCAACATTTTCAAACCTCAAATAATGGAAAGAAAACAAATTCATATTCATTTGGAAACAACAAGTCCAATGTTTTAAGTCAGGAAGAGTTCAGAAATCAATATTTGTTGGGATAACCATGAGGTTTTTCAATGGGGTCGAAAATCTCAGTGCAGTGTGCTCTTCATTTTTTTCCAGAGATGCATTTCCAGAGGTTTTCCTACCAGAAGTATGGCATGAATCTCCATCTCATCACATCCCTAATCCTCTCTGAAATGTCACACTCTTGTGAACAATCTATAAAGGATCAGATGTTTTCTTTTTAACAGAGAGGGAGTCGCCAATTAGCCAAAAACTGAGAATCAAAGCCACAGAGGAAGACCGCTTCAATAACACACCCAGGCTCACATCCTAAACACAGATTTGAATCTTGTTGGTCTAATAGGTTTAGAAGCAGATACTTTTCGCTGTTGGTGGCGCATGGGGATGAGCTGACATTTGAATGCATGAACAGACTGTGGCTGCGTCATTCAGTCATTAACACTGACCAAGCTGCGCCTGAGCAAGGCGGAGCTTTTTCCATGGATTGCCGTCTAAACACAGCGCACATATGTTAGAGATTATGAGGCAACAAAGACACTAACTTGGTGTATAATGTGCACCAAGCTGAAAGCTTTTCTGAGTTTTATCCTTTAAAGTGGAAACGGATGCTCTAGTGCACAATTACATCACACTATTATCCCTGTTGAGCAGTGTTTTAGTGCCAAAGCAGAGGAAGAGGAGCATATCTGAGACCTTAAGCTTCACCATTTGCATATTGTTTGTTTTCATGCAGTGAAATGTTAAGATGCATGATGGAGAAGCATGAGACCTGAGGATTATCATTAGTAGGATCACAAAGATGCATTCAGGGGTATGCCGAGGAACAACAAGGGGATCAAACTTTACATTTTGAAAAGATTTGATGAGTTGAAGCTTGCTAAGATTGTTTGTGACGGTTTTTGTATGTATGGTGGTCAACGTGTTAAGAGAGAAGAGCAGGAATTGTTAACAAAATCTTTACTGGCTGTTGAAAATTCTTCAAAGAATTTTATTCTTTATTTTATTATTCAAACATAAAAAAAACATTTTGCGATATATTCTTACATTATATAACTAAATGTAGGACGTTTCCTAGAATGCAGGACACAAATTAAAAAAAAAAATCTTTAATTTTCTTTATGTGAAAATTATATCATTTGAATACCTTTTCTTAATGCAACATCTTGTTGCATTAAAAAAAGGTAAGTATTTTAGATAAGAATCTAAATTCTTATCTGAACTTAGATTGTGTGTTTATGCAAACTTACTACTTACTTGGGGTTTATTGGCCGAGGGCACATCAACACACGATAGGAGGAAGTTGGACTCAAAGCCACAGCTTTTGGATTCTAAGACAATTATGCTGCGGAGTGGTGGTGGATCACTCCACCATCACTCTACAGATTGGAGTGAGTTTGTCCTGTGGGTTGCCAGATGAATCTCTCTCAGTTGATGTGAATCTCAATTTAAAGAAAAAAAAGTTCTATCAAGCCTAAATATTTTTCATGTAGTTGAACTTGAGGTTTTGAAACTCATTTCTACGAAGGACTATGCATTTTCTCTTTCATTAAAATATGAGTCTCTGATGGAGTTGAGAGAATATTCACTCGTTTTTTTAAGAGGAAGTCTTTAAGAACATGTTATTGTTACTGAATAAGGACTTAAGTATGTACGATAATAGCAAATGTTTTATATACATATACACATATATATGGTATATATATGTTACTCACTATTTTGTATAACAAATCAGAAACCCAAAACTATTCATATGTCTGGAGCACTGAGAGGCGGTTTTACCTATTCCTCTGGTGCCTTCAAGAACATCGGAAAATGTTCCTTTTGCATCGGATGTTTTTATTTCCGAGGCATTACTATTATTTTTATAAAAACTTAAATATTAGTAGCACGGAGTGTATAATAAAGTTAATAAAGTTATACTAAAATCTGAAACCCCAAACAGAAACATACACTGACATATTAAAAATACATGATTAATTTAGAAAATGTTGACGTAATAGCAAAAAATAATTCATTAGCAGAACAGTACATGGAAACAGCGTCAACAAACAAAAAAACAAAACAACAACAACAAAACAAAAATAAAACTTGAAACTGACGATTTTCTTCCTGCTACAATTTACCTAACTTTACTGAAGCACCTGAAGCCATCTCGGAACTACATCCGGGGCATTCGGGAGTTTCACATGTAGGTCGGTTCAGCTGCCATAGAAAGTCCTGGTACAGAAGCTCCTGGTGCTGCTCTGGTGTTTACATCCACATTCGCAGAGATTATGGTAAATATGTAGACATTAACTCAACAGTCTGTACTCGTCGGGCTAACAGGTCGCTCTATGGACTTCTAGCGAGCATTTAGCTAATGCTAATGCAGGCTGGCAGCAGGCTGACAGGTGCTGGAGTTTTGGCTAAATTTAGCCGGATAGACATCTGCTGAGTTTCATTCATTCTTCCCGGGACTTCCAGCTAACATGCACAGTTTGGTCTATCACTTTTTCATCGAACGTCTTTCACTCTTTGCGAGCGTTTTCTTCACAACAAAGTCGGAGTATCACTAGCTTTCTGGACACTTTTATTTTTTGGTCATTTATGTTTAATAACTGTGCAGTCACAAATTTAGCCATTCGAGCAAAAATAAATAAATATTAAGATGCGAGCTCACTGAGAGTAATAAACCTAACCACAGTGGTTAAAATGTGCTTCATTCCTCTGCCAGGCACTGATGGGGATTCAGCTGGTGGTCAGCCTGCTGGCAGCCAGCATCATGCAGAGGATGGCCCCACACTGCTCATTTGCACGGTGGCTCGTCTGCAACGGCAGGTAACGTCACACTCAGCTTGATGCACGTCATATGGACTGCACTAACACACGTGTTTTCTCCCAGCTTGTTCCGATTCAAACACCCGTCAGAGGGAGAGTTGTTCGCGTTGGCAGGAAAGCAGATGCCCAAACAGAACAGAAGAGACAGGTGAGTGTTTGTTTTTTTTTTATTGTATTTTATTTTATTTAGCTTGCATTTATCTGAGGGTTTGCTCAGGAGTTGGTTTTCTCCAAATTTGCCCTCTCTGTGTGTTTGTTTATTTTCCAAGGAGACAGAATGGAGAGAACAAGCCTCTCACGGTGCCCAAAGACATTGACCTCCACCTGGAGAAAGCGCCGGTCAACGTGATGGACGCTCTCGGTAAAACAAGGCGCTCCTCTGTGTGCATTGCAAAACGTTGTTAGTCTAAACTCAGTTAATAACTGCTAACCTATAGATTCTGTGAAATAATCAGAGCCTTTTTGTTTGACCATTCCTGTTTGCAGTGCTGCGCTTTTTCCTGGAGTACCAGTGGCTTGTGGATTTTGCCGTCTATGCCATGGGCGTCTTCCTGTTTACTGAGTGTTATTATAGTTTGGTAGACGCCAGTAAAGAGGTCAACATCGGCGCCATCTGGTGTGTCCTAACGGTTGTGTTTGGACTGTATCCTTCTGATTTTGCCTTAAAGCTACAGCAGCATTTTAGCAGTGTGGGGATAGCAGAGTCAACAAATGCTCTCGTCATATTTGTGTCATTAGATAACATTTATATCAAAATATGAGACAGAGCAAAGAGGATGTGTTCGAAGATGACTTCTGTTTTAAGTCTCCGTCCGTCCTGTCCAGTATCTGCACTTCTTTCAATTAATCGATATAACATCTGTTTTGTTTTCCATCCATTCACTCAATCAGTTTGGTCAGGTGGATTTAACTCCAACTGATGCAATGAGTAGCTTCACATTTCTTAAATAGTCATAGACACACCCTATGGTCGTGGAAAAGACGTTAGTCTGTTTAAGACAAGTTGAATCAAGCAGAGAAAACATCTGGAAAATTTAGCAGAAACTCCACCACAAAGTTCGGACCTGACACCAATGAGGATGTCTGGGATGCGCTGCAGAAGGCTTTGCGTAATTTTCAAACTCTACCATTATGAATACAAGATCCCGCAGAGTCTTATTGAAAAAAATGGCACAGTAAACACATGGTGTTGTCAGAAAATATTAAATAAATATCTGCAATAAATTTAGAATCAGCCAAAAATGGCTGAGAACTTCAGAAGGTTGAATAAAGAAACGTTACAATAAAGTATATTCAGGAATCTTAACCTGCTGTTCATGGTAATTGTGTCATCGTTTGCTTCCCGTTAGCTCCCAGCCTCCTCGCGGTTGCTCGTCCTTAACCCGTTGTTTTTCAGAAAGGCCCTTCACACTCTGATGAGTCACTACTTTCGCTCGGAAGAGGGCGGCGAGCGCTCCGTGTGCCTCGCCTTCGGCTTCCTGTCTCTGCTGGTGGCGATGCTGGTTCTGGTGGTCCGAGAGGACTACCTGGAGTTCGGCCTGGAGCCCGGCTTCTCCAGCCTGTTCGACAACTTGGAGACGTTCGCCAAGCATCAGGGTTACGCCGACTGGTCGTGAGTAGCAGACGTGGACTTAGCAAGGCGCGCTCGCTTCAGGAGTCGCCGTCGTGCTGAATTTTTGCTGCTGTTTGGACAACAGGATCCCGGTGACGAAGCTGACTGTGAAGCTGGGCCTGGCTGCTGTCTGCGCTTACATCGGGTCCCTCCTGGCCTTCCCTGGACTCAGGCTGGCTCAGACTCATCTAGATGCTGTACAGATGAACTCTGACCGACCTCTCATTCAGTAAGAACTCTTAGAGGGAGGGGGAAAAAAAACTGTAGTCCTGTCTTTTTCCAGCACATTTACCATTGTGTTTGTATCTGCAGGATTCTGCTGCACATGAGTTTCTTATCTCCCGTCATTGTGTTGGTTTTGTGGGTAAAACCCATCGCCAGAGACTTTTTGGCCAATGCGCCCATGGGAAAGACTTCTGTCACCCTGTAAGTGTACTTTTTTACTCTTTTTACTCCACTAACTGTTTAACCTCAGTATAAATAAAGGTGGGAAGTTGTCAGCAGGAAGAAACCTCGCGGTTTGTCTTCGGCAGGGTGAGCAGTGCAGCGTTCGACAGCATGCGTCTGTGGACCATCGTGGGCCTGTGCGCGCTGCGTCTGGCGCTGACCCGGTACCACCTGCAGGCCTACCTCAACCTGGCTCAGAAGTGGGTGGAGCAGATGAAGAAAGAGGCAGGACGAATCGCTGCCATCGATATCCAGCGGAAGGTCAGGCACAATTATTTATTTTTTTGTGAAAAGAGAATTTTTTTGCATAAGAACAGGAACAATTTTAATCGCTGTCACGGAGAAACCTTTGAACTTATTCCACTTTCTGTCAGGTCACACGTGTGTTTTGCTACCTAACGGTGGTTACACTTCAGTATTTGGTTCCTGTTCTGCTCATCCTCTTCTCCACGTTGGCGCTCAAGGTGCTGGGTGAGTGAACTACTGGGAAAGTCCATTTCTGGAGAAACCCTGATCAGCAAACCCTGGATGCTAAGTGTCATGACTTTATGCTTTTGTAGGGAACTTCTCCTGGGGTTTCGATGTCGAGGAGTCACCGGGTGTGACGCCAGCGCTGGTGCTCCCCACAGCTGCACCCGTGCCGTCTGGCGGCCTCGACGAGGACGAGGACGGGATGGAAGACATGGAGGACGACATCCAGGCCACGGTGGCACACCTGTCAGAGACGTTCGCCGCGCTGCGCTCCGTCCTCACTCCTCTTTTCCTCCGCGGTCTCTTCGCCTTCCTCACTTGGTGGGTCGCCGCCTGCCAAGTGATCAGCTCTCTGTTTGGCATCTACTTCCACCAGTACCTGATGCAGAACTGAGGAAACCTGAGCGCCGGATGCACGCAGATCACTTCTGACTCGTTGTACGGAGATGCTGCTGGAAGGGTGATGGACACATGGACACAAAAGTGGACGACCACAGACTGACGCTGAGACCGAGTTTGGTTGGAAGAGGTCAACCAGCAGGCCTCTGGCATCAGTGACACAAATATAGAGAAAGAACCTTGACTTGTTTCCCAAAGCAAGTTCAGCTTGTATCAATTTGTACGACTTCACTTGGTCATATCATGGAAGCAGCATTTTTAGCAAGGGAGGAATAACTGAGAATAGATCTGTGTTTCTATTTTAGGGTCAGATCTAACTTTACTGTATAACTTTAAAAGTATTCAAACCTCTTTTCTTTTATTCTCACTCTAGAACATGGGTGTCAAACTCCAGTCCTCAAGGGCCGTTGTCCATTTCCAAAAACATACTCGTCCCCTTAGTGAAAGGGCAGCTTAACTTTTATAAATATAAATAATCCTGAGAATGAAGGATTCACAGTTAATTTTTAACATTTTAAAGCGAAACTGCAAACTCTTCCAGAGAGAAAAGAACTTTCTTGAGTAGAGAAAAAGCCAACTTGAGGCACATGATGATTAACTTCAAATGCCAATAATGGTATGAGAAAGAACAAACAAACAAAGACACACAGACTGTGTGTCATCCTACTGTGGAAATGCTTTGCAGATTTTATATGAAAACATTCTGTTGCCTTTATATTTAAAATCATTTCTTTCTTCTCATCATGTTTGATCCAAGTTTCTGAGGAGCCACACTCATATCAGTCGTGGTTATATGTAAAAACGAAGGCGTATTGTTTGAGCCACTCATCTGTGCATCAAGAGGTATTTTATATTTTATTCTCTAGATTTGATTGTAACTCACAATGCATCACTTTGTCTGTGCTGCCAGTTCCAGCTTTTCCCGACTCTGACGTTGGACTCTGTCTTGATAACAATTCCTTTGGTTCGCCTTGACTCCGGCTTTTTTGAGTTTAGCAGAAACTTGCCTTGGAAACACATTTTTTTTTCTCCAGGAAAGTTCATGAATATAACTCAATTGAAAGTCGCAGTATTTACCTGCATAAGCAAGACACAGCATTAGTTAATCTTAAAGCATTGTGTGTATTTTAAAAACATTTATTATTATTTTGTTGTTACTCGCGATGCTCTGTGTACCCAGGAAGCATAGCCTTCCTTTTAGTACCGTGCCAGTTTTCAGTCCCTTTTCCTGCTCTAAATTGCCTCAAAACATATTTTCCTTATTTAAAAACAGGAAATTATGGAGCATGTGCTCATGGTGATCTGCAGCTATTAAGTGTCTGCCAACACCACAGAGATTCACTTTCCATTCATTTTGTTGCGCAGACCTCCAATCCTCAGCTTCAGTCTAAAAGCATCGTCTGCAGCTTTTGCCATGCATCTGTATCAGTGTAACGTGAACAGTCTGCTGTTTAATGCTGCATTTATATAATATGTAAAGGTGCCAGTGCAGGTTTTTTTGTGCCTCCTCCCAGAGCTGGAAGAGGATATATTTTGTGTGAGGGGACTCCGTTTCCCTTTAAAGAACCGATTTAAGAGTGCTAAACAATTTCTTCTTCTTTTGTTTTTCTAGCAATGTTTGCTTTTATGTTGTTTTGTTTTTCTTTTTAATGCAGAGGAGTTCAGACAGAATTCATCAAGAATAAACAAAGCTGTAGTTGAAAGTGTCTGAAAGCCAAACACTGAAGAGTTATTTCGTTGTGACCCAAGTGCCTGGGACTGTCAGGGATGGTTAGTTTTTCTAAAACTCCCTCTCTCCTTGTTTGTTTTGTATTTATTAAAATCAGCTTAGTAACATTTTTGTTTATATATATATATATTCACAAAAGCAGATATGGTATTTTCCCACGCTAGACAGCTAAAACATTACATTTCATTTCTTGTGCGTCACCTCATGTTGTAAGTAATGTAGGAATTTAGCAGATTCTGATGTTTTGATCTTTAATTTTCTTGTTTTTTTTTGTTTTTTTTTAGAAAATCATTATGCTGTGAAGTTTTTACAAAGATGATTTCAGTTTTTGAATGCATGGTTTGCTGTGTCTTAAGATTTTTTTTGTGTGTGTGCGCGCAGCCTAATTAAAGACAACTTTCTGATTTTCTGCGTTTTAGACAGTCTCACTTCTGTTTTTGGGAGATTTCTGATACATTTCTTTTGTTGAAGCAGCTCTCCACTGATCATTAGCAGAAGCCTGAAGAACATGGCTGCATACTGAGGAGGTGTTTCACTCGGTGCCGTTGGATCGGAGCGGCATCTAAAAGCTGCAGGTCGCCGGCCCTCGAGGACTGGAGTTGGAAATCCTCCAGGTCTAGTCGATCTGAAGGGTCCTGACCTTTGACCCCAGCCTCTCAAGAGGATCATACTTTAAGCAGTGGCGATAGCTGTGAACCCGATGGGCCTGAACAGTCTGGAAAAATCAAGTTCGCCGCTGCTCAACTTTACCGTGACAAAAAATAGTCCCTGTTGAGACGGTGGGACGCGCCGTTTCAAACCAGCTGTTTTAATACTTTGTAAATTTTCAGTGCGTTTTCATTAGGATTTCAGGTGACAGACCAAACTTAAGTTGAACATAAAATCGCAGTACATGCAAAGGGGAAGTAAAACCATGAATTTTCAGGGGTGGGTTTTTTGTGACATGTATTCATGTGATGCGTTCAGAGTGATGTTTCCTCATCACTGCTCAGCCCGTTGAAGGCCTGCAGTGATGTTCATCCTGACTGACCTCTCTGCTCTGCTCCTGTGTCTTCATAATGTTTGTTCTGCAATGTTCTCCAACATTTTCCATTTTGTGCAAAAGAAGGCAATCAATTAGTGGCATCAGAGAAAAAGAGGCGAATGCGCGTCACAATTTTGAAACTTAAATCTCAGTAAAGTTTTGGAATGTGAAAAAGGGAAATGTACCCTGACTGTGTTTTCTCAGAAAGTTCTTGTCTTGAATCTGACATAATTTTCTGATAATTGTGCTTTACTTTCCATTCAAAAAAAATAATAATACAAATCTCTCAGGACAGCAGTCCAAAGAGGAAATTTGAGTTGCAGTTTAACAAAATGAAATATCCCATTTACAATAAATCGACATGGGAACTCTTGGAGAGTTTGTGAAAGGTGACTCTGTCTCCTCACCGCTGTCTGTGCAGGAGGCCTCGGGTCACTTGAGGTCGCTCTGCGCCTCCTCAACCAACCGCTGCTGGCTACGGTTGCTATAGTGATTTTCCATGTATGTCTGTGCAGGGGACCCAGACGTCCCCTACAGACTGGGCTGAGGCTGTCCTCAGGGGAGCAGACCAGACAGACAAGTCTCTTTTCTGATTTTATTTTTTTTTTTGGAGGGAAGACAACAGAGTCGGTCCATGCTGCTGTCAGCCTCTCCTCGTTCCCAGTTTGGCTGTGAGCGGGAAGGCAAATTCTCTAACCAGCTGTGGAAATTAGCCTTTTTGTACTGAACAATTTTAGTGTTTTTTTTTCCTCTCTCTCTCCAAGCCAGACATAAAGGTCTATGGGCTTTTAAGCAGCCCGTTCTCGCTCTCCCACTTTCTGGCGGCTGCGTGGAGAGGAGCATGACAGGGCCGTGACATGATAATGAGGGAGTGTGTTTGCATGTGGGTTCAAAAGACAGAAAGTAGGTGAGAAAAGAAGACATAAAGGGAAACATAAAAGGTGCGCAGTAAATGGCATTTTTATCATCCTTCAGACAAACGCAGAACAGGCGACGGATTCGCATTTTGACTACAAAGAGAGATATTTAACTAAATGTTAGATGTTAAAAGAAAAAAAGTGAGAGAGAAAGAAACCAGGAGCATAAGGTACAAATTAAAATGATTTTATTTAAAAGTATTCACGACAAATGTCAAATAAAAATCTGTCTCTGTTCTGCTGGAGAGGAACTCAACAAACATTAGGAAAGAAAAAATAATAATCTGCAGTAAAATAAGAACACTAATAAAAACATTTTATTTTTTTTAGATATATAAACGCATGAAATAAAAACAAAGCCAATTCCGCCGCAGAGGTTCGATGTGACGACCTCTTTTCACTGAGGTAAAACATGAACCTGAACCTCCACCAGGTCATGGACATCCTTTTTTTTTAAGTTAACCAATCAGCAGAAAGCAGAAAGCTTTCCGCAGACAGCCTGAGCCTTACGAGGTGCGACAGTGTGACACAATACCGCCCCCTAGAGGACAAGAAGCAGAAATGATCTGAAGGTCTTCTCTTGAACGGACACCAGCAGTTTTTACTACACATCAATGGAGCTAAAAAGAGCAGAACAATAGAAGAGCAAAGATTTATGAGCAGCATAAGCAGCAACATCTACAACATGAAGAGGCGAGAGACGGCAGCTGTGGCAACAAAGTCTCATTTGACCTTGTTCGGTTCAGCGTCCATCCACATTTATTATTGGTATTAAAGATAAATACAGTAAGTACACTTTTAAAAAAAACTGCAGCGTAATGCAAACTTTTATTTATTAGTGAGCCAAATTTATTTTGGCAACTTGTTGTAAGGAAGGCATGTATTTTGTGCCAACACACAGTGAACAGAATGAGGGGAGAAGGAAAATCTAAGCAAATTTTTTTCTAGGGGGAAATTATCATAACTATCAAATATTAAAATCGTATCTATATAATTGTCTTATTTTTGGAGAGCCACGTCGGGAAAGCTATCGAATTTTCATTCATAAATACGGTGGAAGTATCTGTGATGCAGAACACCTGTTACAATTTATCACATGTTTCTTGTTTTTGTAAATACCAGAAGGTTTAAGGAAGTTTTCTGGACTCCTACCAGAAAACTGAAAATGTGTCACCACAAGATGTTTTAACAAGGCATGTGAGCAAATTAAGCCAAATCGCTGATCAGGCAAATAGTCCTGGTCATGTCAGGACCTCATCAGAGATGATAAGAGAGGATCCAGGACTGTCAGTGTGACACGATGCTGCCACCATCAATGTCTAACGCTTTTACACATCTTTACCCGGCCTGCATACGTGTGCACTGGGCTACGTGGATGTGTCTTTTGGTTTCGCAGGATTTAGCATAAAGCTTGGGGATAGCATTTGTGCATCATTTAAAAAAAAAAAAATCTCCCTCATTTGAAGATATAAAAGAAAGAGTGTTAAAGCTTAAAATGTGTCAATCTTGAGAGCAAAAAGAAAAAGGTTCCAATTCTGAGAACTCTGCTTTAAATAAGGCAGGCGTGTTCACATGGAGTCTGAAAATGGCTTAGACGGCAACGGATTAGCCTAGCATCACGGAGGTGAACAAGAGACGCTCCTACAGGGGGAAAATGAGTCTTTTCAAGTTTACCTTTATGATAGGAGAACATAATAAAAGTAAAAGTTATTGCTTTTGATTACAAATTAACTTCAATGCATATTTTTAGACAGGTTCTTGGACAAGATATTAATTTTCATGTCAGACCGAATCAAGTTTCGAGTCAAGCCTCTTGTTTGCTAGTTTCAAAAGCCTTTTTATTATAATTTAGAAGTTTGATTTTTGACTCATCAATTAGTCAAAAATTGATCAGTCAAAACAAATTTTGACATACTAATCCTCATGATGTAGGAAGCCAATTTATGTTAAAATGGTTATTTTTTTAAAAAATCTACACTTTCTAAAATAATATAAATGTCAATGTTTATTCATTGTTTTTAAAAATGGCGTTTCGTGTCTTGGTTCAGTCCTGACTTGGAAGAGATGCTGTTTTAAAGGCCAAATGTACTTTCAGAAACCTTTAAACTTCCCCGCTTTAAAAACCTGATCTCAAGTAGTCTTTAACTATTTTCCAAAAGCTGCAAAACAAACAAAAAAAAAACATAATCAAACTGTATTTTGTTTCAGCACAGAAAAATCTAAAAAAAAAAAAGAAGGAGAAAGTCTGTATTGTATGCATCTATCGCCTCGTGGGATCAAGCGAGTGACTTGAAGGGAGGATTTCTTTCCCACCCTGGAGAGCCCAGCTCTGCGAGACGAGACGTGTGGGGGTGCGCGCTAGAAAACATCTCGACCCCGTCGGGTTTTGTTGGCAGCCGTTGAGCGGGAGGCGGTGGCAGCTGGCTATGTCTGCCAGCCGTCACTCATATCCAGCTGCCTGACAGGCTGCCCTCGCTCCTCTCCGTCCTGCGGGTAGCCGGCTTTGGGAAGCTCCTTCGTCCTGTTGGCCGGGTGGGTTTCTGGAGGGCTGCGGCGCGCCACGTCGCCGTTGCCCGTGGGCGAAGGCTGCCTGAGGTGGTGCAGACGAGGGGAGGATGGAGAGCACATGTGGTCAGGCGAGCTTCGCTCCGATTTGATGCTGAGGTTCAGGGAGGCAAGATGAGAGGAGTTGGAGGAGCAAGACTGAGATGGGAAGGAGCACCCCCCGCTGGACATTCTGGGAACAACAAGTTAAAGTTATTAATTAAAGACACATTCACACCAAAAGGTCATCATCCTGCTTAATCACTGATACTAATTAAGTGTCCAGTACAGTCCTGAAGTATTCCTTGTCCACTTTTTTGTTTTGTTTTTGCAATTTATCACGATAAAGCAGCAAGCCTTTTGGCTTTTATGTTTTATACACCAACTCAAAATATCTCATTAGTGTAAAGTCAAAGAAAAAGGATTTTAAAGTAAAATAAAATGGTTAAAAAATATCCTTCAAAGAAGAGTCGAGAGAAGAAAATCATTTTTGGCATAAAGTTCATCTGCAGTTTGCCACAAGTCATAAAGAGACGCTGCAAGCCTATCAAAGGAGGTGCTCAGGTTAGGTAAGACCAAAATGTGACCTTTGGCCCATATGCTTAGCATTATGTGTGGTGGAAAACTAAGATTGAGCACACCGTCCTCCTGGTGAAGGTAGTGGCGGTATTATGCTTCGGTGACGCTTTTCTTCAGTGGAAATAGAGAAGTTGGTCGGAGTTGATGGGAAGACAGATGCGGCTAAAAAAAGGCCGATGCTGAGAGAAGACCTGCCTGAGACCACAGAGGGCTTGAGACCTGGGTGGTGGTAAACCTTCCAGCAGCACGACGACGCTAAACTTACACCCAGAGCTACAAAGAAATAGTTCAGATCATATCATATTTCACGTATTGTTTGAAAATATCTTGTTAATGTCAAAGTTGAGCCAGTCTGACAGAAGTTGTGCTTTCCTGCAAAGACGCAGAGTCAGTGGAGACGTGCTCCAAAACATTTGCCGATGTAATTGTGGCAAAAAGAAAAGATGGCTGACAAACTGCTGATCCTACTACAGCACTGACTGAACATGAATGCAAGCCACAATTTTCTTCCTCTAAATAATTACGCACATTTTTTTTCTTACTGTTTCTCATAAACTCACTAAAAACTATAAATACTTTTGAGTGGGACAGTTATGTCGAGGTTTTTCACATAATTTCTGCATTTATAAGAAGAAGAAATGATGAGTCAGTAATCTGAAAGCATGAACATTTTTTTTCAATATTTTGTACTTTGGTCTTCCCTGTTTGCACAGTGTGACATGCATTTTTATCAATGAGTGAATTATTTATTTCTTTGATTTCTGTATTTGTGATTGAGATGCGAACACAGATTGAGAACCAAGGTTTTTAAGTCTTTTAGACAACTTCCTCCCGAGGCGCCTGCAGTTTCTATTTCAAGGTTGAGATCCACAAACGCTTTGCATGTCATGGGGTTAGCTACCAGAAAGACAGAAACAAATACTAGTTTATGTTTCATTTGCTTAGTTTCTACACTTCTCCTGGAAGTTTTCTTTTCATTTCTCACGATTTATCATTCGATTAGAGCCAGTGTCAGTTTTGGTTTTACTTTCAACATGGAGAAGTCTGACCGGCACTGTATTCTGTCATCCCTTTGTGACCTGATAGATAAAAACAATATTTCCCCTTTCCCGTCACAAAACTCTATCTCTCAGTGTTGAAGGTAGCCGTAGACGTGTCTCCTTTAGATAAGTCGAAAACTGCAACATTATTCCTCTTGTTTAAAATAAAACATGCACCTACAGTTGGTTCTCTTGAGGAAATCAGTTACATTGCTGCAAGAAATTTCCGAAACACAGATGAATGCTACGAAATGAACATTTGAACAAGAGACAATCTCCTGCAGACCAGCTTTATGACTTACCCTGAGCTGATATGAGGAGTCTGAGACTCATGCTGCCAGGGATTCACCGGTCCTCGCTGTAAACTGACAGAGTGAAAGAAACCAGGCTGGTTGTACTCTAAAACAAAGAGACAGACAGGAACGTCAAGGAAATCATCTCCAAGACCTGGGAGACAACAACAACAAAACAACTACACCGTATGAAAAGATATACCAGCGAAATAACTCAAACCAGCTTCCTTTCTTTGGGTTGTTATTTTTAATTTGTGCACAAAGCTTGAAAAACTGAACAATAAACTACTCGCTGCTTGGTTGAGCAAACTGAGCTAACTTGCCAATTGCTGTTTGAAAGCTGGCTTTGAGGAATGGGTGAGCTCGAGTCAGGAGTCTGCGAGGAGGCTTCACTGTGCTGGTAAACCAGGAAAGTTAAAAATAATCACAAAAACATGAAAAAGCTTAAGAGGAAAATACAAGAGGGAAGTTGAAACTACCGACAGATTTGAGATTCGTCTCTAAAATGGATGTAGTTCCCAATGCAATAGAGGTGTCACTTTCTTATTAGTGTCGCCTGCCATTTTTAGTCTTAACTTGCGAAAAATGCAGCAGGTTGGCTGCACCTCAAGCACAAGCATTTACATTTGTGGTCTTGTTGTGATGTCGACATTTGTCCACCCTACATATAGCTGACAAGTGGAGTATAACTTTTATTTTGGGCCTGACTTTACTGAGGGCTTTTCAGCCTTGAGCATAGACATTAGCCCTGGGTCCTTTGCATGTCCATTATGCTATAGCGACATATAATCAGTTAAGGAAACAAACACATGCTCAACAAAAGTGAAAAATTGGGAAGGTATGAACAATAATAAATATTTTCTTCTTTTTCGTTTTAATTTTTTTTTTACAAAGCAAACAAAAAAAGAGATATGTATATGTTAAAAAATATAATCTGGATTTGTACTCGGGCCACTTTACTCTCATATCTCCAAATAACCTTCATAAGTCGCATTCAGCAGATCGTTTGTCTTTTAATTTCAGTATAAATCCAGCTGATCTGTGAAGGCCTTAGCGGTTTGTTAGAGAACATTAGTGAACAAACAGCTTCATCAAGACCAAGGAACACAGCAGAGACAAAGGGACGGATAAACCAGGGTTTTAAAGGTTATGCCTTAAAACCTAAACTAACAAGGCAGGCAAGGAGAGCAAGGTAACTCTGGAAGAGCTATAGTTGTCCACAGCTCGGGAGGAAATCAGGAGGAAGATGACAGGAAGTATTTCAACAAAGTTTAGTCTGGGAGGCAGAATATAAACACACAGTACAGTTTTCAAATTTTGGTTTTGCAGAAAAATATATATATTTTCTTATTCCTTCTGCTTCCAAATTATGCACTAATTTCTGTTTGTGACACCAAATCTCTTAAAACAATACAACTTAAAAATAAAAGTTTGAAAAGAAAACATTTACATAGGGTGCACAAATGTCTTCGAAGCATTGTGTACACTGTATTATATATATCTTTATATATTTTTTTTTTACTGTAGAGAAAAATAATTGAAAGCAGATTTACCAGAGGCTCCAGCAGGGGGGAGCCCGTAGCCCCCCAACCCGTGACTCAGGAGACCTGCTTTACCCATCGCCACCATCGAGCTGCCGCTGTGCAGGCCCTGGTACAACAGACTCCTCTGATGATGAGGAGAAGAACAAATAGTGAAACACAAAATGTGCAGTGATGTCACTCCGTGTGACTTGTTACCACTGTTGTAGTGAGCGATAAGGGTGAGTGAGAAAGCAAACTGTGAAATTACGTTTCAACTGGCAGGTAAAAGAGCTGTGCATTGGCTTATAAGCTCAGCAAGTGGCAGATTGTTTCATTTTGATGGCAACGAAACAGATACTCACAGCAGAGCTGTGGTTTACTCTTGTGGCCCCCATGGCCTGATTAGCAGCGTCTGCCCGCAGGTTTTCGCTGCCCAGGCTCAGAGGAGGAGGGCTTTTCATGTCCAGCGCTCGGTTCAGGTTGCCATGGGAGAACACGGAGTAGCCGATGCCTAATCAGAGGGAGAGACCAGAGGGGCATGAATGGAGTCCAAAGCTTACTTCACCTATTGACCACTCATTTATTAAGTGCCGCATTCTTCACCTCCTTCTTCTGCAAACTAAAAGTTCAACACTAATACATTTCTTGATGCAAGTAAAAAATAAAAAATAATAATAAAAAAAAAGGAGATTTTTTTGCAGCGTGACAGAATCTGTCTCGAGATGACAGAGGTAAAAATGTTGTCATTTAAAACCAAATTCGTTCTGAGTCGCTATGAGCGATCAGCAGCTAAAGATGAAAATTGTAAAAGAGGACGACATGACAGGCAGGTGTGATGCATTTTGTGCAAAAACCACAAAACTGGTTATAGCTGCTGTTACACTGGTGGAGGGCCAGTTTCACAGAAAAAAAGGCTCACTGCATGTGTGGATTAGAGTACACAAACACACAGAGACACACACTTCCTGTGAGTTCACAGCCAGCTGCACACAGGGCTGACAGCATACACATGAAATTCACTGGGAACTTTCAGTGAGAATATAAAAGAATGCTGGATGGATTTTTCCATGCTGTTCACTCTGCCTCAAATGGAAAGCTCTACAATAAATGTATCAAATTTGACCTAGAATGTAATTTTATTTCGTAAACGATTTAAGATATTGTTCAGACTTCGCTTTTGTAAAAAAATAAAAATAAAAAAATCATTTGGTGTTTTATGAGAGCTGCTGTGCACACCTGGATGTGGGGACATGAACGCCGCGTGCGGTCCCGCCGGACCCGCAGAACCCGGACGAGAGCTCAGAGCTTTGAACCCGGGGGGCCGGTGGGACGCCGCGACGGACGCCGAAGAGTTGGGGAAGCCGTTCTCACACCCGGCAGACACGAGGAACTGAGTCTCCGGTGACAGCAGAGAGGGAGGCTGAAAGACACGAGGAGAGGCGCAGAGGATCAGAACGACAGCGCAACTTCTAAACTGTCACCACCCGAGCACCTGTGCCGCGAAAAAAATCTGTGTCGACTCGAGCGAGTGAAAGCAGAAGTGTGTGTGTGGACTGACACAGAAGCGCTGGCGGGCCACAGACAGATCCATGCTGTCGCTGCCGGGATACTTGTCGGCCGCCGCCTGCGCGCTCTCCTCGCTGTCGAGCTCGGAGCCGTCCAGGCCGTGGCCTTTCCTGCGCAGCGTCTGATGCAAGAAACAAAGGTTGCATGTTGAAACGTGCCAATCATGGAAAAATGGTTTAAAAACACATCCTTCTGCGTTGATTTGTTTCGGAGTTTGCAATCTTATTACTTCATAATGCATAATTTTATCATGAAACGTTGTAAAACATTCTGCTCATAAAACTCTAGCAGGGCTTCAACAACGACATCAGTTAGAATAAATTCAGATTTTCCTCTTTCTGGTTCTCATCTCAATTACAACGTTTCCAACATTGTCTGCGACCTTTTGTATTTTTGGCACTGTTAGATCTGTATATGCAAAATCAAATATATACTAATGCAAGTTTGTGACCCAATTATTGCGCTCCAAACAGTCTCTTGTGATGTTAATTTATCAACAGCTGATGTATTTTGCAGAGACTGGATTTTTCTTTTGCTAATTTCGTGTGGTTTCTTTTACAAAGCTCTCGCAGTACCTCCAATATGTCGGTGTTGGTGCGACTCTCGTGCGGCTCGCTGTACTCTGTGTATTTCAGCAGAACTTTGTCCATGTCAGTGCTGGCGTACTGGAACAGACGGTTGGTGCTGTTGAAGATGATGAGGGCGATTTCGCAGTCACAGAGCACGCTCAGCTCGTATGCCTTCTTCATCAGGCCAAACTTACGCTTAGTGAAGGTCACCTTTCACAGTGAACGGACAAAAACAAAGAACAAATCAGCATGCTGTAAATAAATGCTATATTCTCTGTCCTTTTTAGAGCTTAACACTGCAATTTTTGTTCCATTCATCAGTTCTTCTGCATGTTTTTAATGAGACTGAACATCAGAAGGGCCCCAATCACAAAAGGCTTTCGTTAATGGAGAGAGATCACTCAGGTTGCCTCGTTCAAAATATGGTCTTTTCTTTTTTGTTTTTTTTTGTAAAAGATGACTTTGTTCTGAAACCTAACAAGTTGAATTTAATTTAATTAGCTTTCAAATAAATTTTTGTTCAAATTTATAAGATCCAGACAAATTTCATTTTATAGCATCGGGGTAAACTTAACTCTTTAAACTGAAAAGGTTGCTGAGCCCAAATCTCAACTGTAAAGAGCACATCCTCAAACAGGCACTTTCTACATGGACTTCATTACTGAAGTCCATGTTTATTACTGTACATGGTATGTACAGTGATAAACTGTCTTTGATCACACATGTAAGATACTCAAAATAGCTCAGACTCAAATAACTCAAAAACAAGAGTGTTCAACGGATGCGAACATCAGTCCTCTTCTGTTGTGACCTCACATTTCTTTCATCTTGGCTTTCTCTGTGTATTTTTAAGCTATAATCGTCTCTAAACTGCAGGTTTGCACAAACACCTCAGAGTTTAGTGTCGAAGTAGAAAAAAACGGATGTACATAAACTTACTTGACTCTAAAATATGTATTTTCTTTATCCTGAAGCCGATTTCCTCTTTTCATTTTGGCCCTTTGGTGTCCTCAATTCATTTTCTAAAACCTCTGCAGGTTACATAATTTTATCGGCAATGAGAAAAAGTTGAGTTTTTGACACCAGGACTTAGATCTTGTTAGACTTAGAGGACTCCATCATGGAAGAAGTTGCCTCCTCTTACCAGACAGTTCAGCAAACTATCACATCGACCCACTTTGATGGCACTATTTCTGTCTTGTCAAGACTTAGGTCATAGTTTCAAAACCTTATTACTCTTGAAAGCATTTCCTTTATATTTTGAAGATACAAATGTTTTGTATTGTATTGTATCGATGTCATAAAATTATAGAAGTTTGCAAAGTGTTTATTATTTTTTTAACTTTAGAGTGTAAACAAGACAAAACAAGAAAACCTCTAGTCAAAATGCAGCACAATGAGCTTTACTGCCTATCTGCTAATCAAATGTCTAAAAGTCATTTTCTGACTAAACGCAAAAGTTCATAAATGCGTCGAAGCAGAACATTTCAATCACATCACAAGGTGACGATTTACATTTCAGATGGGGCAATCTTCGCTCTGGTTGTTTTGAACATGCAAAACACAGAGGGATGTTTTTTCCTTTAACTCAGCGCTGCTCTGTCCTAACATGGAAACCTAAAGAATATTGATAAAAATGTGTGCACAGAAAATAACAAACTCTTGATATCCAAACTGCAGTCTCTCACACTTTTTTTTTTTAAATATTGGATTTCAATTTGATCTTTTATGTTGGATTAGCCGCTTCTTTCAGCCTGTTCCTATGCTTTGATTTTCCTGAACATATTTTACTGAGTTTTGATCTTCGCGGCTTTCATTTGCCTGATAAAGCGCGTTAGACCTTCCATGTGAACATGTGAACATGTGAATTTCAATAATGAAAAAGAAAATAGCGAGAGAATGAACAAAATAAAAAAAGTCAGTTTGGTATCAAACATCTCTTAGCAACAGATATGAGACTGATATTAAAAATTCACCAAACAATCTGAGACAGTCATGCTTGTGGTATGTTAAGGCTCACCTGTCTGTTTCTCTGGTCAATGATACGAGAAATTTGGATTTTCTTTCTCCCCATGTCTTCTCCCACAACTCTGAAAACAAACGACAGTTGATTACAGGACTTTTAACTTGTTTTGTGTTTTTTGTCCCAAAACTGCCAGCTTTCGTTTCAAGGTTTAAAAAAAAAGCATCTCCACACCATGATGCTGCCACCACCAGGTTTCCTCATCAGGTCCCATCATTTATGTTTTTCTGGAAACTGCATGGCTTGTCTTCCACCAGCTGTTTTGTCTTGCCACTTTTAAATAAAAGCTGGATGTGAAGTCTGTCACTAATACATTTTTCAATAATGTTCTATAATAAATTTATTAGATGACAGCTGAGTTAATATTTAAAAAAGTAAACACATCTGGACTTTTTAATGAGCAGGCAGCTCCAGAAGGCAGCTGGCAACACAGGATTTTTGGGGCAGTATCTTGTGTGGCATTTAGGCAAAATCCTGATAAATAAAAAATACCAGAATAAAGACTATTTCTATGTTGTTCTATTCGTACATGAATGCACATACAGTATTTAAGTGAAACACTTCTACATCCTGACGGAGTTAACTCAGACTACTTCTGATTACATAAGACTAAAATAAAAATGCATACTTTAAGATTTTACAGCATTATTTACTTTTTCAAGTAAAATCCACCTTTCTTTAAAAAAAAAAAAGCACAAGAAAAGTCTCTCACATCCGTATATTTCTGATGAGAAAATTTCCTCCGTTTGGTTTAAGTGACTCAGGTTCCTTCCTCTCAGTTCATGGGGGGGGGGTGTTTATTTTTACCACCATAAGGCGATGTGGTCTGAAGTCAGAGCCACTTTTGCCAGACCATTTGTCCACGTAGACTCTTTCAGTCTGCGTGCGTTGCTCCCTCCCGCCCCCCCCCCCACCAGCTTAGCAGCGCAGTGCTCGAATACACCGCTTGGCCCCAAGAGACGGGGTTAAAAATACAGTCCATGGCTCCTTTTTAGAGGTTCAGCAGGCAATAGCTTAAACCAAACAGTAGAAGGAAAACGGTGTGTGTGTGTGTATGTGTGCTTTTGAAAGATGGCCCAACGACGTGAGCCACCCACTCCTCTCTCATGCACAGCTAGGTCGGAGAAAAAGCGGGACTCTGAGGGGCAGAGGGCATAGACATGGATGGATTGCGGCTGGCTAGAGAATGTTTTCAAACTCTGTTTTCTTTATTTATTTGGTGTCAAAAACCTCGCTCTCGCTCCTCTGCTACAGGCCATGGCATAATAGAAGATAAAAACGTGTTACTTTTGCTGGAGTCTTCCGTGCTTTGTGGCAAAACACTAACTTGCACCTCTTATTGGTGACTTCATGATGACCGTACGATGCATCTCCAAACCCCTGAGGAATTTTCCCTGGTTTTCCCCCTTAATTCTAGACGTGTAGCAGAGTTTTCTAAATTTAGTCGCTTGCCCCTGCTGATGCTGCTTGAGCGGATATGGCGCCCATGTTCCCATGACCCCTGAAGTACCCGCTTGCCCCTCAACATAAGTTTGGCACAAAGGCATCTGGGCCACTTCTGGTGGAATCTGCTTCTTTGACAATTACCTTATAAAGTTAAATGAAATCCAATGCACCGGAGATGTGACACATCATCACTAAACCTACAATGCCCTTTGTTTCGCTACAGGAAAACAAAGGACGTAATGGACAAATTGGACCACAAAAACCAGTGTTGGTCTATCTGACCGACAACCTTGATACCACAAAGAATTCACACAAGGCCTCAGGCAAGCTCTTGAGCTTTTTTCACACCAGAAGTGAGACAATTTAACCTCATATCAAGACATTTTATGTGTGGAAAGACAGGGAAGTGGGACATATGTTTTAAGCAACGCGAAAAGATCTTTATCTCGCGTCTTTATAGAAGGTTCCCCTCGTCTGCCAAATAACCAAATTACAGCTATCAAGCGCCACAAACTGCTCTTTGAAAAACACATCACTAAATGCGTAAATATAGCCCCGCATCCAGCCAGGCAGCGCAGAGCTGGCTGCAGTGCTCTTTGTGGTTTCACAGGTTTGTCAAGAGCCTAAAGGCCAAGACGGGCAGGAAAAGCCTGGCTGCGCCTCACGGCTCGTAATACAAGATTTCCCATATTAAAACGGCTATTTGAGGTCTGCGTGTGTACAGATCTGTAAGGCAACCAGAAGCTACCTGCTCCTTGTGACCTTTTATCTCGCAAGTCGACTCCTGAGCAAACCGTCTCTGAGAAAAGATGGAGATGAAAAGGAAAAAAAAGTTTGCATGCACTTGAAAACCTCGTGACTACGAGACATAAGATTGTTGATTGCACATAAAGAAAGCTGCTCGTGGGTCTGTGATAGAAAACGAGCGTTAGATTCAGAAGACAGCAGAAAGCACAGGGTACCAACAACCGGAATGGCAGGTATGCTCTGCAACACACCGGGATCCTTTTGCGGATCACCAGGAACTGCACCGGGGTGCAGAAAAAAAGTAAAAAGAAGAAAAAAAAGATCAAACAGGTACATTTCAATCAGTTCAATTGCAATGAACTCACACTGACTGTTTTACACCATGAGATCGTGCTGCAGTAAACTTCACGCATGAACGAGAAAGGGAAAAAAGGGTATTTGCACAGAATTGAGGGTTCTGCTTTGATGGTTTTCTTTCCATGAGTCATTCAGAGCATGGCGGCGTCTAAATGTTTCAGAAAGTTGGTAAACACGTGCATGCACATCGACTGAGGCAGATTATGGCTGATTATCTGACATCAAGAGAGAGTTCAGGGAGCCATCAGGAATTATTAACGAGTGTTAAATGAGGTTATAGGAGCAGACGTGGTTAAAAAGAGACTGAGTCACTCTGTTATTAAGTTTGCTGCAAAACAATAAATTGATGTTCTTGACAGAAACTTGAGAAAATTCAGACAGTTGCTTCCCTCTAGTTTACAAAATTCAACCGCAGCAGGAGCAATGTGCATAACATCATAATCAATATGAAATAATAATTACAAATGAATGAAGTGTGATCATTCCAGAGAAAATATTTTTGAATCCTGTAAATGTAGCTACAGACACAAAAAATCTATTTCCTTTCAAATTAATGACAGAGCAGCGTACTTTTAGGGAAGGTTCAAAAACAGCAATATTTAATCCTTAAAGGGTTAGATTTTTAACAGCGTTTGAGCCGTTGTTTGGGGGAAAAGTTAGTTTAGAACTGGGTTTATTTACATTAGCATAACATACAAGAAAAGCCTCAAGCTACTTGGAAAAAAAAAAAAACTTATTTTCAAATTCGCAGGTTCAAATTTAGTTCAAACCAGGCCAGTACAGTCTAAGAAGGTCTGGATGTCACGTCCAGCACCAATAAAATGTCCTGATCATAGCATTATTGATCCTAATCATAGCTGATCATTTAACACCACTTGGTAAAAAGCAGGGTATCCTTGAGTCATTGACTATACAGAAATCCTTCCTCTGAAGCGATCATGTAGTTTCACATAAATGTCAGCAACACTAACATAGACATAGTGTTATGTTTACCACTCAGTAATGCTTGGTGGAAAAAAAGTCATATTTCCACAGGGCTGTAATAAAGTCCAGAAAACCGTTTCTGTATATTTAGGTCAGTTGCAGAATTTTTAAAATACTGCCGCAATGTTAGTTGTTCAGTCTTTGTCGCTGATTTTTTGACAATTTATTGTATCTTGAGATTTTTTTTTACTTTTTATATCAAGGTGACCACTGGGGAAGATTCCCCACATCAAGCAGGTATGGTGAGATCGAGTAAATTTAAGGAATTATAATAAAAATGGCTCAGCCAATATTGGGAGCAGCTTTGTCAGATTTGAATAGCATCTTGGTATCTTTTTTTTACAACCAGCCTTTCAACAACACATCATTTGTACCTCATTTTTAACCGTATTTAATTACTGCAGGAGTGTTAAACGATGCTTCTTGATTTTTATTTGTTATCTTTTTTTTGCAGATATAACAAAAGAAATGCAAACAAATCACGGACAGTTTAAAGAAATCCATTAAGATCACATAAACAGAAGGCTACTTTATAATACTATATAAAATTATATTTTGCTAAATTATGTAGAATGCACGGATGTTGTGCAGGCGAGTTCGGTTCCTCATTTCAATTTATGAAAGTTTTTTTTTGCCTTCGTGGCACTCAAGATGAAAGAGGGATTCTGATAATAAACGAGAAGGAGTGACAAAAAAAAATCAGCACCAGGTGCGTCCAAGCAGAGACACGGTCAACCTACTGATAACTGGAGTTTAATTCCCGTGCAAAGAAGCACAAGCACTCCAGATCCCAAAGTTGTACTGCATCAAAAAAATAAAAAATAAAAAATAAAAAATTTCGGTTATGGAGTTAGACTTCTTAAAAACGTATGTATTAATGTGTCTAAGTTATTTCATAGCTTCTTAATAATCCACATCTACAAGTAACAGAAAAGCCTGTGTGCGTGTTTCTGTGTGTGTATGCACACACAGAAACATGTGCGTGAGTGTGTGTGTATGTCAGCTTGAGGGTCAGACAGTTCATAAACTCACGACAGGCCCGAGCGCTAAAATGGTGAGGAAATTTTTGTCTAATTTTAACTGGAGATAATTCAATTGCCTTGATATTTTTGATCGGAGATGCAACGGTGCATACTCTGGGCCCAATCAGGACATTTGGCCTTTCGGTGACTAGAGAATGAAAGATTTCAGGACTTTGTGCACTTGGTGGGCAGCATTTTAAAGAATTTTTATTTTCTGCAAATAGGAACCAGTGGTAAGTGAAAGGTTACCACAAAATGGCACAACCTCAATTTCCTGCAAAATTCTATCTATCTATGTGTCTGTCTGTCTGTCTGTCTGTCTGTCTGTCTCTCTATCTATCTATCTATCTATCTATCTATCTATCTATCTATCTATCTATCTATCTATCTATCTATCTATCTATCTATCTATCTATCTATCTATCTATCTATCTATCTATCTATCTAAATAATTTGGGAGAGGAGGTATCATGGCATGGGCCAATTCTCACAAAGGAGAGGTGTAAATTGA